ATATAATGTATGTATGGTCTGCTTCGCGCATGCATGTATGTGTGTGTATGTGTATGCATGTAATGCATGTATGTGTATGTGTATGCATGTATGCATGTCCATGTGCATGCCTGACCGCTGTATGTCTGTATGTATGTATGTATGTGTATTAATGGGTTATGTATGTATGTATGTATTATGGTAGGTATGATATGTATGGTCGGGTTGGTGTGCATGCATGCATGCATGCATGCATGTATGCATGTATGTATGTATGTATGTATGCATGCATGCATGCATGTATGTATGTATGTATGTATGTATGCGTGTGTGTGTGTATGTATGTATGTATGTATGTATGTATGTATGTATGTATGTATGTATGTATGTATGTATGTATGTATGTATGTATGTATGTTATGCATGCATTCATGCATGCATGCATGCATGCATGCATGCATGCATGCATGTATGTATATATTTATATATATATGTATATACACGTATGTCTATATATACACATACATATATATATATATATAGATAGATAGATAGATCGAATATGCTTCCCTTCTATGAGGTGGCGCGAGGCCAGGCGCGGCGGCAGCAGCCAGGGGCCCTGGCGCCCGCGCGGAGGCGGCGCGGCCGCCGCGGGCGGCAGCGCGCCGCCGCCGCCGACGAGGGCACCTGGCGCCGCGGCGCCGCGGGAACTGCTGCTCGGCAGCGGGCTCTGCAAGCCGCGGGGCCCGCTGTCCGTCGCGGCGCAGCCCGTGGCGCCCCCCGCGCGGCTGCTCCGCCCCGCCTACAGGTCGGGGGTTGCTAAAGGTGTCTCTGGCCCAAGGTGTCCCCAGCTTGTCGCTCCACTTCGGTGCCCCTATGGCCCTCTGGCGGCCTCGAGAGGGGTACTCAAGAGGTCGTGGTGGCCTCCCTGGAAATCCTGGGGACATCCTGGGCCACGGACGCTTGGCAACGCCGCCTGGCCAGGGCCCCGGCCGCCGCGCCGTACCCGCCCGCTCCGTCGCCGTCTACCTCGAGCTCTTCCCGGCGGCAGCGGACCCCGAGGGGCCGCTGCGGCACTGCTGTGCAGGCCGGCCCGCCGCCGGCACCGAGCCCGAGGACCCCGCCAGCGCTCAGCGCGCGAGGCCCAGGCGCCTCCGTGCCCGCGCCGCCGCAGAGCGCCCGGCGGCAGAACGGGGCCTCGCCGCGGCAGCTGCCGCCGCTGACCGCGGACCCGCGGGAAGAAGCGATGCTGCGGGGCGGGCGCGTGCCGGCCGCGTGGTTCCTCTCTGGGTGGGGCGCGAGCGCGGCCCTCGGCCAGGAGTGCTTGGCTGGGACTCGGGGGATCGGGCCCTGGCATGTGCTCGGGCTCGGGCTCGCGCTCCAAACTCGGGCTCGGGCTTGGCACTATGCTCGGGCTTGGGCTCGGGCTCGAGCGCGGCCTTCGGCCTTCGGCCGCGGTGCGGGCGGGCAGGATCGTGACTGGCAGATCTTGCCCGTCCCGATCCTTCTTCTCCGTGCCGCCGCCGCCGCCGCCGCCGCCACCGTCGTCGTCGTCGTCGTCGTCGTCGTCGTCGTCGTCGTCGTCGTCGTCGTCGTCGTCGTCGTCGTCGTCGTCGTCGTCGTCGTCGTGGTCGCCGTCGTCGTGGTCGCCGTCGTCGTCGTCGTCGGCGTCGGCGTCGGCGTCGGCGTCGGCGTCGTCCGTAGCGTTTTTGGGCTCAAGGTGTCTGCACCGCGGGGGCTCCGCGCCCCTGTGCCCGAGTGGAAGATGCTAGTCCGCAGCAAATCATCAGTGATTTCGGCGCGGCAGCGCCCTTCCATATCCAGCGTGCATCAACGAGATGCTGGCAGAATCAGTCCCACCACCGGCAGCAACGCAGCATCAGACAGGGGCGAGAACCGTTCTCCGTGAAACAGAAGATCGAATAGAACATGCACAGACGGCGCAAACGAAGGCGTGTCGTTGACGGGAGCGGCTACGAGAGCAATGAAACCAAGCAGAAGCCAATGTGGCATCTCGGCGCAGAGTTGGCAACATCAGAGGAATAATTCAAAGCCAAACTACACGGCCACGCCTTCTACCCATCGGCGCCCATTTTGAGGACGAGGACATGGGCGTGGACCTGGGGGGTCTGTTCGAGTTCGGGGACGCTGACAGATTTGGCAAATCTAGAAGCCGAAGGGGGAATTCACCAGAGCAGCAGAGCACGCGGCGAAGCAGGCTTACGCGCAGGCAGCGGAGCAACTTAAGCAGTATAAACAGAAGGATATGGAGTTCATGGGGCGGGTCTAGAAGAAGCGGCGGGTGGGGGGGCCGGTGGCCCCGGCAGCTGAGCCTCAGCCTGCGCCCACAGCAGCATCGGCAGCATATGGCGGTGGCGGAGGAGCAGCAGTGCAATCTGGGAAGGCAGCCTCAGCACCATCGGCAGCAGAGTCATCAGCCAGTGCCCTCTCGGAGAAGGAGGCGAAGGAGACGAAGGAGCTCGCCGCCGCGGTGGAGGCGGCCAGTGCGAGTGGCGCCGCGAAGGGGTGGGGCGACCCGCTCTTGGCAACGCCATCTACGTGCACAACCGCTCGACCTGGGGTCCGAGGTTGAAGAAGAATACCGACTCGCTCAAGGACGACCGGTGCGTCTTCCTAGAAACGCATCTTGGGGTGGGGGGCAGCAGCGAGATCTTGGAGCACCTGGGCCACGAGGGCTGAAAGGCGGTGGTCACGCCGTCCCAGAAAAACACGCGCAGTGCGTTTGCAGGCGAGATGGTCTGGCAGGTCGACCGCGCCTTGCGGTCCAGTCGTTGCGGCGCCCCGTTGCCAAGAAGAAGAGGGGGAGCTTGGCGAATATTGGTCAACAGTTCCGATCGCCTTCCATAATGTGGTGGCCATCGCGTGGCTCTGGGCTGGGCACTCCATCCTTGTGGTGGGCACTTGCCTCGCGTCTTCCGCATGGGGCGGGGCGAGCATCGGGCCGATTCGGCGAGGCTGGCGGCGACCGCCGCGGGGCGTTTCGGCTGCAGGCTGCGAATGGCGATTGGGGCGCGGGGCCGCGCGAGCTCAAGCCGTCGGTCTGGCCGCAGGTGTTAGACGTGATGGCGCGCGCGCCGGCGGGCGTGCAGTGCGCGCGCGAGGGGCCCAGCGCCGATGCTGGATTACGCTCTGTGCTCGGAGTCTTTCCAGTTCACCCATAAGGAGGTAGCGTCGGACCAACTGGGCCCGCCCGCCGCGGGGTGCGGCTTCACCTGCGCGGCGAAGCAGGGGCGGCTTCGCAGTGGGCGCAGCGGCTTGCGAAGCCGTTGCCGCCGCCCGACGCGCCGAAGGGGGGGTGGGCGGGCCCCAGCGGCAAAAGGTCCATGGGGAACGCCGCGCAGCAGCAGCTGCGTAATATTAGCGGGGAGCTAGCGTGCGCGCCCTCGCTGAGCTCCTATCTGGGTGCGAGCGGCCAGCGGCAGGTTCGAACCCGCGCGCGAGAAGTCGCCCAGGGGGTGCCAGGTCGTGGGCGAGGAGATGGGCGGCATGTTCGGCTGCTTCGAGTCGAGCGAGGGCGACGGCGAGGTCGGCGGCAACGGCGAGCAGGAGGCGATCGCGCGCCCCCCCCTCCCCGTCAGCTCAGGGGAGGTCCTCGGCATTTCAGATGGCCAGAGCGACGTGTTCTGCAGCTCAAGCTCGACAAGGGTGTCCTCGAGGACCGAAGGGTCGGGGGGTCCCCGCCCGAATGCGCGACGGGGGCGGCTGCGTGCCAGTGCGACCCGAGCATGGCCGACGAGCTGGGCGCGCAGTTCGGGGCGTGTGCGCGCTCGGCGCAGCAGTGCTGCGTGGGCGTTCTTAGGGTTGGGCCCGTGGAACGGAGGCTCTGCAGGCGTGGCGAGGCTGTGCGTCGCCGCGAGGGCAGTCAGGATGTGCGACGACGTGGCGTCCGACATGGGCGCGTCCATAGCGTGGTGGGACACGCTGGCGTCCTATCTGGTCGAGTTGCAGCGCTGCGGAGGGGTGGGGCCCGGGGGCCTGGGCCTGCTGTCTTGCTGCAATGCCATGGGCGGATTCACCCCTAGCGGCGGCGTCGTCAAGACGAATGGCACGCAGAAGCGTAAGTGGCCCTCCGACCTTGAAGGTGGCCGGCAGCCTGAACTGCGGGCAGGTCCGGAGGCTCGGAGTTGCAGCCCTAATTAAAGCAAGGCAGGGATGCGCGCGGATGTGCAGAGGGCTCAAATTTCGCGCGCCAGCTGGGTGAAGGGGCAGGAGGCGATCGGGGGCGGCAAGCTGCGCGGGGGGGGGGCCGAGGTGCGACAATCATGTCAGGAGTTGTTGTTGGGCTGCCACCAGAATTATCGAGTACAAGGGGGCTAGGGGCGCGCAGTGGAGAAAGAAGAGGACTGGTAACAACGCGAGGTCTGCCATTCTGGACAGGCTCGGGGTCGCCGGGGAGGCGGCGCAGTCGGAGGTCTCGGCGCCCATCGCCATGGCGAGCTTCGACATCGTGATCGACAGCGTGGCGAAAACAGTTGAGCAGCTGGGGTCGAGGGCCTACAAGTGGCCTCCACCCGGCGCGCGCGAGGAGCTTACCGGCGTCGTCGTGAAGGTCGAGAGCTCAGGCGCGTGGCGGTTGCTGTTGCTGGCGCGCTCAGCCTCCGGAGGATGGGCGCTGGCGGGGGCAGAGCTGTAGGATTGCATTCCGAGGTGATAGAGATCTGTTCTAAGGTAAGGAGCGAGCGCGCCAAGGAGTGGGCGCGGCACGTCGCGGGCAAGCGGGGCGCCGCTTTCGCGGGCGACGGTGCCCTCGCGGAGGCTCTTGTCAGGTCCTTCGCCGACGAGGTGTTGGAGTGAGTGCCCATGGATATCTACCTGGTCACCGCGTTGTGGGGCCGAGCATAGGTTCGCGACGCGCTGGGGCCGTCCTGGCCATGGGCGAGGGGCTGAGGCTCGGGATCCCAGTCCGTGTTGTGCACAGGGAGGTGCCAGGCCACCTGAGCGCGCGCCTCGTCGGGGAGAGGGCGGCCTGCGCGAAGCCCATCGCGCCCGACGGGTCGATCTGCACGGGGGCGAGGAGAGGCGTCGACTTCGGCGCGATGGGTCTCTACGCGAAACTGAAGAAGGCAAGCGATAAGTTCCAGCAGGTCCTGCTGCGTTCGGGGGCCGACGACGTCGCGGTCGGAACGGGGGGGTCGAGGCGCGTGGTGATCAGGCAGCTCACAGGAGCGGGGTCGACTTCGCAGCGGGGGCGATGTATGCCAAGCTCGCCCTTCCGGGCGAGTCTGCCCGCGTCGGTGACGGCGTGGGCGTGGCGGTGGAGTTTGCGTTGAAGCTTGAGGCGTGCAACGGCGCGGTCCGGGTGAAGATCCAGGCCCCGGATTTCGGCGTCGACAGTGGCCGCGGCGTCGCGGGCGGCATGGGCAAGCGCGCCGCGCGGTCTCGCGCGGACAGGGGGGTGGCGAAGGCGCTGAGCATGGTGAGGCGCGGCAGACTAGCCGGAGGAGGTGCAAGGGCAGTCGCGCAGCGGGAGTCTACCCCGTACAGCCTGCGCCTGCAAGGTGTTTGCCGTGGCGCTCATCGCGGTCGCGAAGTCAAGGCGCAGGCTCGCCGCGGCGGTGGCTCCTCGGCTGTGGGGCGTTGCCTCGCGACGCTCCTGCAGCTGGAGATCGGTGCGGGCGACCCGTCGTTCGCCCTGGCATTCGCGCTGCTGGACTCGTGGATGCGCGTCGTCAGCGACTCGCAGCGCAGGAGGAAAGTCATCATCATCTGACTCAAGATCGTCGCAGCGATAGCGAAGAAGGAGGCGAAGCACCCTTGGGGGGGAGTCACGGGAGTCGAGCGCGCGATGGTCGTCACTTTCATGGACTTCGGCTGGCAGCCCGTGGGGCCGTGGCGCTGTTTCTCGAGCGGCGGCGAGGTCGGGCAACCTCGACCGCGTGGAGTGGCTCATCGCGGCGGGCGACGCGTCTGGGGGCGAGTGCGCAGTTGGCCGGGGGATCAGGAGGGTGTACTGTTTGGGTCCCTCTCGATGGCCTGGGCGCTGGCGAGGCCATGGTAGTTGCAGGAGCTCGTGGGGCACTCTCTGGATGGATGCAGAGCGTCGGTAGTGAAGAGCTGACGGCGCTGAAGGACGTGCTGGAGGCGGGCAGCAACTTCGACAATAACAGGTGCACCGCGGACTCGTCCTAGGTGTTTCGTGGCATGGCGAAGCTAAAGGAGGGCAAGATGCCGCAGACCCACGTCGACCTGTGGAATGCGGTGCGGGTCAGCGCAGATGCAGAGTCACATGGTCGCTGGGGAGGCTTTGGAGGCTGTGT